AGCAGCATGACCAGCAGAACAGTTTTACAGAGTTCAAAAACAGTATGAGCGCTGCTACTATACCTTTGTGGTATGGTAATGCCGGTGATTTTTGTTCCTTAGGCAGGTCCAAAGGGTAATTTTCATTAGAAGAAGCAAAATTACGACAAGCTCAATATGCAACCATTGCGGTTTTCGCATTACAGAGATTTCAAGAGTGCGCGGAGCACTATTCCAAACAGAGTTCGTCACTGAACCTTTCGATTTGCCAGAACCTATTGGAGATGTGGTCACTATCACTGAGAAAATCTACGTTCCTAAGAGAGAATATCCTGACGTGGGTTCGCCGATGTCCACACAATAATCATGTAATACAGATTGGAGCATGTTTAGTATAACTTCGTCGGACGGATTCTCGGACCGCGTGGTATGACTGCCAAACAGCTGGAGCAGGAAACTGGCTGCAAAATCATGGTTAGAGGCAAAGGATCAATGCGTGATAAAAGAAAGGTTTGAAATGAAGGGTTGACTGATAACGCTGTCCATGAAAGACGATATAGCCACTGAGAATTATTCAAGGAGGAAGCAAATCGAGGTAAACCGAATTGGGAACACTTGGACGACGAGCTGCATGTGCTCTTACAGTGCGAAGATACCGAAAACAGGGCGAGGATAAAGTTGCGCGCGGCTATGGACCACGTGAAGAAGCTTCTCGTTCCGGCGGTACGTTCAATTAAGAAATAAACTGAGAATAGCAATTACCTTCACTCTAGTTTGCTGCAGACGGTTCTTGTCAGGCAGTATGAGTGTGTCACCCCGTCAAAGCCGTTCTCTGCCTTCTTGTTGAAGCGCGCGACAAAAAGTGGTAGAAAACGAGTAATACGAACGATATGATACAGTCATATCATTTGCTCGCTTTAACAACTGGTGGAGAACGGGTTTGGCACCGCGCCAAACTCATCCCGCCTGACACGCCCAACCGTCCGCAGCGAACTACACTATATGTTACCTCCAACCTCGTAGTTATTGACACTATTTTACTTGTTACACTTGCCTTCTTTCAGCCCGAAGGAACAGATGAACTCAAAAGGAAGCAACTCATGGAGTTAGCCATTATAAATGGAACATATAGACCTTTTCACAAATCTGGATTATGTAAACTTCAGGTTTTGTACTTTCTTGGACTGATATTATGATAGGGCTGCCTTTCAGCAAACTCGAATCGAATTATAACCCCTGTACCACTTGTCTCTCCAATCCGCGCTCCTATTTTCGTTTCACCAACAAGCAGCCCTAACAACGGAATGGTACAGGTAACTGCCATATTAGAAGAAACAATTTCCGCAGCCTAGTTCTATTTAAAAAGATGTTTTGCAGAAGCCTTCAAATCCAGGATATATTGGAACAAACTCACAGCAGCCGTTTGACTATTCTTCATTCATGAAGTGAGTTTGACGCCATTTTTGAGTAGATGAGGTGGTCTCGTTCCAGAAGAGGGCGAGAAGTTTAGAAACGCTATCAAAGAGAGCGTATCCAACATCCAATGAATAGCTTATCTCCTCCCTCACTTTTCCATTGCAAGCCTCGGCGCCGACGTAGTTGACGGGGAGGCGGACGAGAGGACAAGACAATCGTAACACGCCGCGTGGCCGCGCGCCGCGTGACTGTTGCGATGCACTGCAAATGCTCTGTATCTATCATTAAGTCGACAGCAATAGCTAAACTCGAATGAATTCAAGCGCAGACAAGTTTCCATGATAGGTGATGTAGAATTTTCGCCTCCCTCTGATACAAATTCAAACCGCCGAGGAGTACAGCTCGTCCGTCGGGTGCGAGTCGCTGACCGCGCCCGCCGGCCGTCAGGTTAAAGTCATCTTGTCACTTACCTGTTGACGGACCATGTGGAGACGCCATAAGGCTTCCACTGTGCCTCTCACCAGCATAGTCTTTCCTTCCTTCTTTCACACTAAACTTCAATGAACGCAAACGACTAGAGCAGTGGCCGCAGTTAATTTTTCCACGTGGCCGCGT